TAGGCAAGTGGGACCTAGAAATTTTGCCCGAGGGGGTCATCCCACTCAAAAATGGTCTCAAATTAGATGTGCTAAACCTGGACCTGTCCACTATTCGCCATTACCTGATCATCGAATGGGGAAGAGTCCTGTGTCAACGCATTAAGAAAAAACGTAAGCACATTGACATTGAGTACATTGACCTTCCGCACCAGTGCCAAATGGCGCGGAAGAGATCCGATGCTGATCAGGGAGCTTTGCTTGTTCACATTAACGGTGTGGCCTACACGCAGGATCGGCTTGCGAAATTTCTTGCTGAGAGTTGTGATCTCTGTCCATTTGACTGTGGGGAGGTGGACAGCATTCCGCACCGTTTGAGCTGCACAGCGCTACACCCGGATCGTGTCGATTGTGTCCTCAATGTCAGGGCGCTCCAGCGCATGCCGGCAATGACCGCGTGGCACGCAGTAGGACCAATTGTTGATGAGGTCTGGAAGTTTTGGGTCCAGCTCCAGAATTGGCATTTGCCCCCTTTTGAAAATCGTTTGGAAACGCCCTGCACCGTCTTCATTGATGGTTCATGTACCGATATGAAAAATACCTTGGTGCGTCTGAGCGGTTTCAGTGTGGTACGACGGACATCAGCGTACAAGTGTGAAGTTGTGGCGGAGCATATTGTGCCTGGCATCGCACAGAGTTCGGGGCGAGCTGAGATCATGGCCGGTCTTGTTGCTCTTGAACTTCACATGAAAGTGCATATTTTCTCTGACTACGACACCTTTGTAAAAAGGCTGCGCTTGCTTCTTCGAGGGTGTCATGTTAGTCTAAATTGGTCGAATGCGGACTTGTGGAGAAGAATTGCTCTCTTGATTGCGCAGCCGGGCTCCGCTGTCGAGGTCTCCAAAACCAAGGCCCATGGCCAGTGGCAGGGCCTAGCAGAGCCACAACGTGAGCATGGGTGGCTAAATGAGGTTGCCGATTCCAGTGCAAAACGTGCAGTCCACGAGGCAAGACCTAGCCTTGTGAAGTGCATGCAGCGTGCGTTGAAGGCGCAAGCTGGCAAGCGCGCCCTTGTTGACACTTATCAAAGGTACATTGCTCAGGTTGCCGAGAAGCGTTTCAATGTGCAGGTAAAAGTGGTGGACCCACAGGAGGCGTATGATCTCCAGCCGCTGCACGCGGAAGGTCCTGGGATTTTCTTGCCCATTGATCGGGACAGGCTGGCTCAGTTCTGCGCCAAGACTCACTGGCCTGTGCGTTTCTTGGAATTGGTCACGGAATATGTAGCATTGCTTCAGTGGAATCTCGCTCGCCCTGCTGGATGCAATCATGTCAGCTGGGTGGAGTTGTACCTTGATTTTTTGATGTGGGGTCGTACTCTTGCACCGGTTCGCATGCCGGGTTCCAATCATGTTGCTCCGGATTATCGATGGAGAACTTCGGATCCGCTTGCACAAGTTTTGCCTTCGCAGCTTGGCAAAGACGTGAACACTTGGACTGTAGCTTTCAAGTATCTGTGCCGCAAGGGCATCATCACCTTTCCATTTCAGATTACTACGCATGCTCAAAGCATCAGACGTATAGGTTTACTCATGAAGCACGGGGGGGTTGCTCATCGGCCTCTCCTGCTTCACGGCATCCGGGGTCCTCAATGGCTCCAACATAGGCTGAGGGGCACCAGTTCCACTCAGCGGACATTGAAGTTTCCCCTGCTTGTGATTCCAGAATCCAATTAGGGCTCTTTTCGATGGTGCTTTCGGCACCGCTATGCGCGGCCGGGAGACACAGATGGTGGCAAGGCAGAACAAAGTATGGGAAGTAAACTATGGTCAAAACACCCAGAGTCCCATTGTAGTCATTTGTCCTCCGGGAGTTGCTCCCAAACTCTGGGTGGTCAACCCAATTTAGTCCAAAATCGAAATACAAGTCGGCAGGTGAGTCATCCCGGTGTGGTGCATCGCACGGGCTCGTCCACAGAATGCTGCAAAGACCCAAGACATAGGACCAGTAGACATGTTTGGAGATGAGCCTTTCTGGTGCTTGGCAGGTTAAGGATAGACTGGTTTCCGTGTCTCCTTTTATTTTTGCGGAAAACACGTGTGCTTGGTTTCAAGGCGTAGCACGGAACATCACCATGTCTGGGTTCCCTGGTTCCAAGACATACTCATTTCTCACGGAACAAGTAAAATAACATGAGTAGCGGTATTTCAAGGGGGTCGCGGAAGGAAGCTGAAGAGGCCCTCGGGTGACCTTTTTAGGACACAAACCCCAAGATACATCCCCCCCCCATTTTTCCGGGAAGGTGCCAACATGCCCAAATATACACACTTGTTGACTACCCCAAGATGGACTTAAACCCAGGGGTTCTCCTTTTTGCGGGGAATGGCCCACCCCTGCACAAAGTGGACCCCTGGATACGAGTGGTTTTGAAGGGGCAAACCAACACCCCAAGCCCATTTTGAGGTTCGGAGAGCAAGCGCACTGGATGCTGAGGTTGCCTGAAGGCATGGGGCGAATCCCAAGGTGTTAGGGTTGACAGTTTGGAGCTTTGGTCATTGTTCGAAAAGTGTCTGTTTCGGGGCCCAGGGTTGACAAGGCCCTAGTGTTCACACTTTTTAAAGCTTTGGTCATTGTTCGGAAAGTGTCTGTTTCGGAGGTTTTGGGGTGGTTTGAAGAAAAAGCAACGAGAAACCACTCGTATCTTCTTCGGGTTCTTCTGTAGGTGTGCAGGTCCCAAGTACCCACCTGCCCCCACCGAACGAAATCTGGAGTTGTTGAAGGGTGGTTTTCTTGCATATCTTCTGTAAAGTTGACCCCTGACTCACAAACCCTTCACGGGGAATCCTTCTTTGTGCTTCGTTTCTTCCAGGGGAACGCCCCCGTCTAACTTATTCGTCAGGTGTCTCATTTACCAAGGACCCAGAATTCAATTGTAACCTTTTGGGGCCATGACGAAACATGGACCAAACAGGGAAGACTAAAAGATCAAAAGCTCGGCTTTGGACCAGCGAGTCGTAGCCGGGCTGTCGTCAGATCTGCAAAACGTGTCTAACTCGTGGGTTCAATGGAAACCCAACCCACCAAACCCGCCAAGCTACAGCCGAAGGAACCGGATGGGAACCTCGCTGGAAGCCCCTAGAAACCTGAAAAAACCGGATGGCGAGCCTCATCCAAACATCAGGTGGGCTATGGTGGGTCAAAATTCACCCAACCCAACCATGGGATCCCCAAAACCTTTGCTTTGACCAGCCATATGACCTGCGACTCGCCATGTCCCGAAAGATCTCAGGCCAACGGCCAGCACGCGCTCCGTCATGGTGGTGATTTCGATCTGCGCGGAGTCGATCGGCGGAAACGGCGACCGTGGTGACGTCGAAATGAAGACTTGGCCGTGGGGCGAAAATCGGGCAACCCCGAAATGGGGTGCCCTGGACAGTGGAACCAAAGACTAAAACCCGTGGTTTGTTGGTGGCTTAATTTTGACCCAGACCCACTTGGGTGCTCAAGCAACGTCAGGTAAGTAGGTTGCAACTCTGGTTAAAACTGGGGCTACTGGGGTTAGTCCGCGTACTAAGTCAGTTGCACACCCAAGGGCCCGCCCCGATGGAACTAGAACAACTCACACCTGGGATGGAAGCCGAATGGGACAACCCACCGGGTGCAAAGGGCTGAAAGCCATGCGATCTCAGAGCGTTTGCGGGCTGTACCGGACCTGGGATTCTCAATGCTTGATAAACGAACCAAGCATGAAACCGATGTTCAACCGCAACCTGGACACCGAATGGAACTTCCCTTTCCATTTGAAAGAAGTCGGTCCATCTACAGCGATACTGTCGATCTGGGAATCCTTGGAACCCGCCACCGGTCATACCGGGACTGGGTAGGTCTCTGTGGGGGGTAGGTACCCTTTCCTTGGGGGTGTTGCAGGGAAACCAAGAGGAAAACCACTGTTTAGGGGGGGTCCTCTGAAGACACACACCAGGTTTCCGTCTTCCTCTTTCTCGAATCGTGGACTAGCTCACATGCACAGAGATGAATCCAATGTTGCGCTCAGTTTCTTCACTTTCCGCGCCCGTGTTAAGAAAACATGCTTTGGCCGTGTATTTGGGCAACATCAGCATTCAACACAACTTCAGCTCGATACAGGACCTTGCCTGCAGGTAATCTCCTCTTGGTTTCGCAAATGGTAATGTGTAACACCTCACACGAAAAAAGGCATACTTCCTAGTCCAAGGGAAATGTTGGCCTTATCTCCTGATGGCAGCTTCCGCTCCTCAAAATGAATGGGGGGTTTTCGCTGGGGTCTCTCTGAAACAACCGCATGGGGCAGGCCCTCAAAAACAAATCGTCCCCCTCACACACATTTTGTGGAGCAAAGTGGGCAATTTCGGCCAGTTCCGGCCCTCATGCTGCTTTAAGAAACCAATATGGGGGTGACATCTTTTAGGTGGGGATTCATGTCCAACCACGTTTGAGGTGGTTCTCAAATAGAACTCATGGCCATACTGGGGTCGATGGCTCTGGGGAAAAGTCACAAGCGAAAGGAAACCCACCATTTTTGAGGGTCCTCTACAAAAGACACACGCATGACCAGCACACCCAAAGACACTGACAAATAAACGAACGATGCGTTGCTCATATGGCCTTGCTTTCCAATTTGAAAACAGCCTGTCGGCTGTGTTCAAGGAAGGCTAAAAGGAAACTGCAAAATATTCGAACTTCCCTCATTCAAGTATGTGTTTTTGAGGGTAAACACGCTCGCCGTGACTCCAGCTCGTAACTATGCAATCCAAGCCGTTTCGCGTCTAACTACGCCGTGCTGCCGGCAACTTACGCAGTTTTGCAATTTATCTATTCCAGAGTGTGCAAACATTGAACATTGCGGGCAAAAATCATCGCTGGGATTTAACAACACAGCAATCATTCTGCACATGTTAGAAGAACCAGGTATGCAGTTTTGGAGGCCCCACAACTTAATCAAGGTCAACCCGAAAGCTCGGATTTAGATCTTGTCCTTCATTTTAGTCAAGGAAGATGTCTGAACACTTTGTCGCAGTCAAAACCTGGTAGCTTTGGCGGCCCCGAACACACGTTTCCAGAACAAACATGGGCCATCCGCACCCAGGCTTTCTCGGTTGCTTTCTGCTCCTCTGCTTAAAGTTTATAGCTTTTAGTGGTTTAATACGGAAAACCCATTAGTTGGCAAAAAGTTAGAGTTCTAACTTCCCTTGGCACAATGCACCAAAGAAAAGCACCACCCACTTTCTGAGGTTCCAATTCTTGTTTTCTAGGCTGGAAAAAGTGGACCCCAGCAAAGCTTTGATGGTGGCTATGGTCGCAGGCACGTCGACCCAGGCCGCAAGGCCGCGCATCGCCTGCTGTGCGGTGCCGCCGCTCGCGCCGAACTCCACCACGAAGTTCACCACCGCATACCTGGCGCTTCTTGCGCTTGCGGATCCGGATGGAACTCGCAGCTGCGGTAGGGGGACCACCTAAAGAAAGAGTATCACCTCAGACTTGTCCAATCAAGATTGGAGTTTGGTACTATGGTGCGTCAGTGTGTAAAGAAATGTTATCAAGCAAGACATTAGGAAATATATTAATTTTGAGAGTCTCAAATGCTCCGAGAGTCAAACAACAACTCCCCACTGAAACTGACAACTCTCAGCCCTCTGTGGTCGTTTGGCCTGAGAAACTCTGAGCTAGAGGTGTGGTAAGTTGTCAAAAATGTGTTCGCGGGCAATTTGTAGGTCACCAACCTTGATTTACCTAATGCTGCATCTTTAGATGTAGTACATCTGCCTGTCTAGAACATCTGTTTGAGAGCTGGTTCAGATTTGGCGTCAATCTTCCCAACCCTTGGTAACAAAACCTTGCCTTTCTTGCACACATGACAGCTCCAAAACAGCAATCAACATCCCCACTGTTTTCAACATATACTAGTCCCTTCTGGCCGGCAAGTCGGGTGACATGTTGACCAACTGACCCACCCAAACGGGAAGCCAAGTCGAACATTGGCCTAAGAGCTCAAACGGCTGCCTGAGGTCCCCACGAAAGCATGGTTTTCGCAGAGGGGAAGTCAACACATAAGCAGAACTGGGGGGCTTCCATTTCCCCCCCCCCCCCCAACGTCGTTCCAAAAGGGAGAAGCCGATTGGGTTTCAATCCAGCGGCGGTTTCTTGTTTGGTGCTGTTTTAATGGGAACCCAACAGGAAGACTGGAGCCATTCTTCCATTTGTTTAAGACCCCAGGAAAAAATACAAATATTTCCAGTAGTGAAAATGTCCTTTTAAAACCAACAGGGGAAAATAAAAACAATATTCTTAAGCAAATGGAAGCATTTGGGGGCTGTCCTACGAAAGCCAAAACAGGCAGTGCCACTGGAATTTGTAGGTTGAAATCTAGTGGTTCGTGCAAATTCTCACCCCAGAGCCATATACTCGCTGTCTCATACATTTCAGACAACCCAAGAGCAATGAAAGATAGGCATTGGATGATCCAACCTGAGCACGCGCGCTTAAATGCAGTCATCCGGATGCACCCCCCAGTTCCCAAAGCATCCAAGCATCCAAAATCATCCAAGCACCTCACCAAACATAAAACCCAGCCACCCCCCACCCACCCCCAGCCGCCATTTTTTCGGCGCACAGGCCCACATTGGAGTTCCAGATGTTGAACTCTGCGAAGAAGGCCCGGGTGGCCGCATCCAGGAACCCCTCGCATCGGGCCGCGGGCCGCTGGCCCTCAAGCCATCCCCTTCGTTTTTCGGTTGGGAAAACAAAGAAACCGGAGAAAGAAATAACAAAAGGCAAGCCCACAAGCAGGCCAACAGGCCAACAGGCCAACAGGCCAACAGGCCAACAGGCCAACAGGCCAACAGGCCAACAGGCCAGGCCAAGAGGCCAAGGCAAAGAAACTGGGGAAGGCAAAACAAAAAGAAGCAAAGACTGGATGGATGACATGATTTTCGAATGGAGGCCAGCATGCTTTAAAGCTAAGCGCAGTCACAGACTGTAATTCAACTGGAGTCTATATATGGGATGTAACATTTCTATGGAGGGTGCCCAAATAGAGCCTTTCCCGACAAACAAGCCAACAGGGCCAACAGGCCAAGAGGCCAAGCCAGCCAAGCAGCCAACAAAAAACATTTAAATGCAACAAATGCAATGATTTGCATGGGGTACTGTTCACATCAAATGGAACCCTCAACGTCTTAATTCATGGTTTGGAGCAGTCCTTTCGGGTGGCCACCTTTTTTGGGGTATGCTCCCTTGCATCTGTGAGCGAAGAAGGCACTGTCTGCAGCATCTGGGAGTAATTAGAAGACCTCAAACTGGGGATCCCCGAGCAAAGGAGCTACGTCACGGCCAGATCGGTCTACCTTCAGCTTGCGATAAAATGCGACAATATGCCCGGTTCTCAGAAACTACATCTGAACATGGGGGCCAAACTGTCTCGGCCCTCCGGTTTTTTTGGCGACCTCAACGCCCAGTAGAAACACATCGAGGTCTGCGGCCTGTGGGTCCCTAATTAAGCACCACCCCTCTTTCGGATGGATGCGTTTCCCCAAAAAATAGAGGGCCTCCCGGTGCAGGAAAAGCAAGGGAACCGAGCATCATGGGGGGCTCCTGTACTGGCACTTGCGAGACACCGCTGAGGCCACTGGTGATCGTCTTCACTTGGCAGGTGACAATGCTTTCGATTGCCTTCTTTTGGGTGTTCCCCTTGGACGCTGAGATCGCCATCCCGGTGGCGCTCGTCATCACCCCCTCGGCGACTGTGACGGCCATAGGTGTCCTTTTGGGGCAAATAGATGGCCCTGGTAGATGATTAAACCACCAGCTAAACCAGGATTTGGCATCTATTTTTCGAGAAAAAAACAACCATGGACAATTGAAGTCTAGCTTGCAGCCCAGAACCCGGAAAAAACAAAAAAACAAAAAAAGAAACCATGACACAGGTGGTCGCAACATAGAGTGTCCTTGCTCACTTGCCCAAAGTGCCTGGACCTTGACAAACTAACCACATCAGCCAAACCCAAAGGTTAGATCCGGTCGGTTTTGGACAGCCAACCCCCCAAGACCAAGACTAAACTACCCCCAAAACACGGGTGCAACACGTCTCCCCAAGATATCCATACCCTTCACTGGGCTGAACTGATCCCTAGCCAGAAGTGCTTCACTTTCAGTGGGTTTAAATGGAAACCCAACCGCTCAGCCCCCAAAAAACACCGGTTGAACCGCCAAACCCCTAAAAAAAACAAAAAAAACACCAACAAACCAAAAACAAGAAGAAACAACACCTGGGTCGAGCAATTCCTCCCCCCCCCTCCGCCGGTTCGATGTTCCGCCGCTCCGCCGCTCCGATTTTCCCCCTTGGGCGCCCGGCGTCTGCGCGCAGCTGGGCGATCTGCTGGGCCGCCAAGGTGGCATTGGAGGCCAGGAGCTGCATGAAGCCGTTGGAGGTGTACCTGGACTAGGTCCTCCAGATTTGAGAGGTTAGAATAAGTGGGTACCAACTTTTTTTTCTTTTTTCGGTAGTCTATTTTAGTAGGGGAACCCTCCCCCCAAAAAAGGGTGAGAAAGGGCACTACTGGACGACCGTGGAGGCTGGGAAATCGAATACGCAGAGGCTTCGAGTGGTTTTCAAAGCCCCATGTTCTATGGAGCTGTGGGGGATGGTAGGGAATGTGAAATGGTAGGGAGGTAGGGAGGTAGGGAGGTAGGGAGGTAGGGAGGTAGGGAGGTAGGGAGGTAGGGAGGTAGGGAGGTAGGGAGGTAGGGAGGTAGGGAGGTAGGGAGGTAGGGAGGTAGGGAGGTGTAGAGAGGTAGGGGAGGTAGGGAGGTGTAGGGAGGTAGGGAGGTGTAGAGAGGTAGGGGAGGTAGGGGCGGGAATGTGAAATGGAATGAGCCCACGCTTTGGTTCAGGTGCACCTGGCTGAGTGAGCGGTGGGGAGGGGAGAACCGGGAGCCCAGTTTCCAGGTTGGAACATGGTTCTCTCGATCGGTGCGAAATCGGGAATGGGAATGAACCTGGCATGATGTTAACCCTGGATTCATAAACCCCTTGTTGATGAATAGGGGTGTGTCCCCTTTTAGTGGTTGGATTCAGACCACTTTTGGAGGGAACACCCCCCCTAATAATGGGACGGGTTTATTAATCCTGGGTTAACATTAGGCCGGTTCGAAATCGGGAATGGGTACCTTGCTGCGAAATCGGCAGGGCATGTGAAATGGACTGAACTGAAATGAAGCCAGGCTTTGGTGTTCGGTAACAACCACCGGTTGGATGTATACACGGGTCATTCCCCGATGGGCAAAGGCTTCGAGTGGTTTTGAAACCCCCACCCCGTTTTGAGAGGGGTCTGTTCTTGCACTGATGTTTCCATCAGCCGAAGCTAGCTTCAACCTATGTCAGGTAGGTGGGTTATAACCAAGGTTATAGACTGGGGTAAGTGGGGTTAGTCGGCTTACCATGGTTCGAACCTACTTACCTGACGTGACAGGTTGTGGGCAATGCATTGGACATACTGTGGATAGACGAAGCCCTGCACCACCACCTAAGAAAACCGAAGAATAAACATTCGCCTATAATACCAACTAGGTCCTCCAGTAGAGAGGTTAGAATAAGGGTACCCTTTTTGCTGTAGACCCTCCCCCAAAAAAGGGTAAAAGGACACTACTGGGGGACCTAGCCAACAAAATGGTTTTGACCGTGGTCTCTTAGGTGATGCGAACGCATGTCGTCCACCCACAGTATGAGTGGCTGTAGGGGGTTCACGTGTGCTTTTACCGCTGGTTGGGGACAGAGCTTTGTCTCAAGGTATGATATGATTCACTTCCTGAGTATATAGATTGGCAAAAACAAAGTCTACACACAAACAGAGGGGGAGGACTGTCGTGGAATTACGAAGAAGGGACTATACGCCAATAGTTGTTTCTTTTAAAGGAAACAAGACGGACGCCGCCTCAAGATGAGGGTTACCCTCAAAAAGACAAACATAGAACCTGCACATGTGTTTCCTTGGAAGGCACATGGCCTTCTAGGAACCCCTGTGCAGGTTCTACGCTAGTTTCTTGGGAGTGTTAACTCGATTTCGAGCAAATCAAAACCGCCAAACAAGTGCATTTCCCTTGAAAACCACATTTCCCTTGAAAGCCAACATCACCAAGCACCAGTTTCTCCAAATTCTTTGAACCGACCGGGAAAACCTACAAGAGTACGTGGCAAAAACTGGGGACCCTCCAAATTGTGTTTTCTTCTCGATGTTCCTCTAAACCAACATTAGAAGGCGACCCTGAAGCAAATATACACAAGCAACACTCAACACACGAGAGACAACACACAACACACCCACACGCACACCCACACCCACACCACCCACACGCACGCACGCCCAAACACACAACAACACACAGCACTCAACACAATGGACAGAAATGCAACATCACCCAAACACCCTCAAACGGACATTCAAACAAATCTTTTCTTCCTCTAGAGATCTCTTTGGCGCACGAGCCAAGGGAGCCGGCGTAGTCGATGCCCGCCATATCTTCGGAGTATGTAAACCTGAGCCGTTGCGAACCGCTCACGGGTCTTAGCTTTCGGCTCAAGGCCTAAGGCCAAGCTCAGGAACCCAGGAATCCGTTTCGCCACTAAAACTACGTCCTCCAGCAGAGTCCTCGGTTAGAATAAGTTGGTACCCGTTTTTGTTGCTCCTTTTTTTATCGGCTTTGTCTATTTTAGTAGGGGAACCCTCCCCCCAGCAAAGTTGGTAGGGCACTGGGGGACCATGTTCAGCTCTTGGTTCCCACAGGGAAATGGGGTCAGGTCACATACCCCTGAATTGGATTTGTTGGTTTGGTGTGTAAAGCCATGGTGCTTGCAGAGGGTAAATGGAAAACACGCCCTGACCTCCGAAGCACCTGTCCAAACCACGAAGGAAGCTGACAATCCGTCCCTCCACGCTCTGAGGCATAATCAAGACCTCTTCTTCTCCTTCTTCTTCTTGATCAAAAGGGTTTATCCCAAAACCAGAGTGACGCTTAAAGGAAACAACTGGGCACCGCGACGGAAGTTTCCCACTCACCTCCATCTACTACCCCCCCCCCAAAAAAAAAAGAAGAAGAGCGGTTTTCCTTGTCGATTTCCTGAAAAACAGACACTTATATATCCACGAAAAGTATAACAAGTCCAAGCTGGCAGAATGAGCAGCACGTTGGCATTGGATCAACCGGATCCCGAGTCTCGCAAGAGAACGCAAGCGCGGACGCGGACCGGCCTCTCCAAGGGGCCGAAGGCCATTTTACTGGCTGTGCCTGGCGAAGGCGCCTGGTTTTGGGCCTCCGCAACCTTCTTTTTTCCGTTTTTGTGGTTTGGTTTCTGGGTTGCGTTTGTGGTGACTCGCGACTCAATCTGCAACTCGCGAGTGCTCCATGAGAGCAAAGCCGGTTCACCCCAAAAGCAACAAACATATGGGGGTGGGTATGAAACCCTGCAGGTAAATGACAACAAGCACTCATTTCTGCGTCCCCTGGTGATTTAGTTTTGACCCATACCCATATGGGGTCCAGTTGGAGTGTCTGCTTTTCTATTGCTCTTTCGTGTTGAGTCACCGCGAGTTCGCAACCTCCCCGCGCCTGGGCTGTAATTCGGATAACAGCTGACCTGAGCATAGCGGACTTCGACGGTTTCCTTTAGGGACGGCACCAGATTCCCCAGCGCCCATGTGGGCAAGCAAAGGCCGCGACTAAACCGAAATGGGTTGAAATTAAGGAATCTGTCAAAGAAAAATGGGGGGAGGGTAGATTACGAGCCACCAGACAAATAGTGTGTATATGTCTACATCTCCCTTGGCCTGGGCCTGGTGGCTTGGGGAACCCAATGACCTCTGCTTCCAAACCATCGGCCATTTTTTGCCCAGAATTCGCACACCGCTTGCATCATGGAGATCTAGCAAATGGTTTGGCCATGTGCGTGCGCGTGGTTTCCTTAGTACTATATCAATACCATTTTCGTAATCTTTGATGTGTTTCACTGTGGTGGATCCACACAAGACTGGCATCTAAATATTCGCGGAACAACTCCCAGCTGCCAAATACATATACAAAACCCCTGGAAGATCAAACTACTATTGAAAATGGGATATCCATTGCCCATCTGAAGGAGTAAAATGAGGGGGGGGCTCGGTTTGATGAATGCCTAGTACATTATATATATATATATGTACTGTATATATATATACGCATATGTATACATATATGTAGAGGCATGTGTATGGCTATGAGATCAAATTGGGAACCACCTGAAAAAGAGAATCCCCGCCGAAGGTTGACGTGCACCAAAGGGTCCCCATCAAAACAATGTTAAAAATTACACCCAGATGTATCATGCATACAAATGACATTCCTGTCGCTAGAAGTAAGTCCGGCTGCAGAACAGGGAGCCACCACCCCAAGAGCTACACCCGGGGGTACATGACATCCGCCTAGATCCATGGGCCGGGCAGTGTACTGCTCGAAGAGAGGCAGCACCTGAACAAAATCGGAAACTGCAAATGAGGAGAGCGACAAACACCGACTCTTGCATAAACAAATAATTATATTTCCAGTAGCCCCGCAGAGGTCCAACTCCAATTTCAGCTTTCAGCAAATAATCCGAAAAAGAGGGACTGGACCCGAAAAATTCGCTTCCTAAGTGGATTGGCCAAAGAAGTCTAAACATTTTGTTTGCCACTTAAATGGTCTTCCCAAAAAGTTTAAACTCCACCAACTTAGGAAGTGAGACAAGTGTGGTCTTCCTGTTTGTGTCCCTTTGAACAAACCAAAAGCAGGGTACCAGCTCGAAACAAACAAACACACGCGCACACAGGTTCCCTGGAACGCGCCTATGCCCCAAACCAGAAACAGGTTTCATCGATGCGATTCCAGAACATTTCAATTGCCCCTGATGGGACCCAGGAATGTCTATTTTGAGCCCAAAAACGGCGTGGAGCAAGAGGAAGGCTACTTTTTGACTTGAATGGGTTCTTGCCAATGCAGGGATGAGGGATGGGAAGAGGACCTTTTCTCACGGAACCTGAGCTCGCACACCCGATGGGTGAGCTTGGTAGACAAATTGTGAACTCATGAAATCTCGCCAAGACCCCGCAGCAGAAATCTGGCACTTCAGTAGACTTTGGGATTTGCCGCCTCGTTCAATCTCAGTACCCCTTTGTTCCAGGCAAACTAGGATTTGGCTTGTCCCCAGAAATTCTGTCTCATATTCAGTCGACCTTGCCTGTCCGGGCTGTCTGCAGATCCCCTGCTACAAGTTTCACTTTTAGTGAAATGGAAACCCACCAACTAAACCAACTGAAAGCTAAAAAACAGAGGCACCGGACAGCTGGGAACCAAAATATCATATGGCTGTGGGTCAAATATAGGTACCCCAAATGGAACCTTGGTGAATGGAAAGAAGGACCTAAAACCTGCAGCCCCGGGCAATTTTATTTGGACCCATGCCCATATGTTTCGTAAGACCCAAGTTTTTCCAATACACCCACTCGGCCGCGGCTTTGGAGATGCCCTGCCTGACAGTTCTGCTGCAGATCAACGCGAACCTGGCCGAGCGCCCCTCTCGTCGCCGTGGGAAGCGGGACGCGGGACGCGCGAGGGACGAGGAGATATTGCCTGCGAGGGCCAAATCCCCTTCTAGAAGCCGATAAAAAACCGGTCAACTGCCTATCTAGAAGCCAATCAAATCCCTCCTGCAAGGGCCGGTTCAACTCCGGTCAATTCCCGCTAAAAACCGGTCAACTTCCTCCAACTCTGGTCAAACCCTGCTCTAGAGAAACTGGTCAATACACAAAGCTGGTCCAACTCTGGTCCGTTCCCCCTAGAAACCTGCCAAATTCCCTTAAGTTCCCTTTCACAAAACCAATCAATTCCCCTCTAAAAACCTCTGAAAACAAGCCCATCTCTTCGGCTCTCGTTCTGGCCCTTGAAGCCAGATGGAATCGCGCGGACATGCACCCACCCTCTAGCTCGCGCTTTTCGGCACCCATTTTAATAGCAACACTTCAAGGCAAACTAAAACACTGTATATACCTCAAAGCCAGCCAAAAGCCAAAAGCGGACTGGCCGAGGCGGGCAACGCGAAGCGTTTACAATTGTGGATGGACAAACTCATGCAGACAAATCCAGTTTCATCCATGAATAGAGCCAGAGCTTAGGGTCTCCCACCCATAATAAAGGTCATGTGGATGGACGAATCCACCCCACAAAACATGAAGTCTGTGTCAAAAGACAACAACCCCCAAAAAAGAGTAGCCTGAATAAAAGCACACTCATACTGTGGATGGACGAAAACCATTTCGTACCACGAAATGAAACCATGGTTGAAAGCGTTGTTGGTATTTAGGTTGCAGAATCGAATCATTTCGTTGGGTTTCTTAGGTGGTGGTGCGAAAGGGCTTTCGTTCATCTGCAATAGCCGGCCCAACTCACTGCAGTGCATTCCTGCAAAGCCCATGTGTGCGGGAAACAAACTTTCGAAAGCCCATATGACACAGCACCCACATCCAAGTGGTTCCATTTCCCTGAAAAGTAGGTAACCAAGGGAAGCGCCCTTTAAAAGCCAAGAGGACAATGGCTGGATGGGTGGTAGCCTCCAACCAAAGCTTCATAGGGGGGTGTCCCTGGGTTTAGTGCGGGGGGGGGGGGCAAAACCACTGTTGGAGGATACTGTGGATGGACGAAATTCTGCAGCACCTGACAAACCCGGGAATGATTTGATTCCCCTGTAAATACCAACGAACGTTCAGGAGTCAACCATGGTTTTATTTCGTGGTGCGAAATCGATTTCGCAACCATCCACAGCATGGGGTCAACATTGGCAAGGAACCAGCCATTGTCCTCTTGGTTTGTAAAGAAAGGTTTATTTTCCTATGGTTTCCTACTATACCGGGAAATGGAACCAGCATATGGGCTTTCGACGGTTGATTTTGATGCGGTCCACATGTTCCTGGCCACCAAACGCCGCGGCCTGCCGGAGTCGCACGGTGCCAAGCAGGCGGTTGGCAATGTCGATGGGCCGCAGGTGCCTCGATCGATTCGAGGACTCCCGAAGGTGGCCCCGCGCGACGTGAGTATGGGGGGAGCCCAAAAGAACATGATCCAAAGGGGTCTGTCTTTTGAGGCGACCTTTTTTGGGGTTTTAGAGGGAAACCAAAAGGAAGCCAGCCATTTTTTGGGTCGCCACCCAATGATTCAATTTCACTGGTCGCTCAAACAAGGTGGTCCTTTTGCAACATGACTTGACCATTTCGACATACCAAGAGGAATCAAATGCCGGGGGCTTTCAAAAGATGACCCTCGTTCAATGGCATTGCTCCTTCTGCAATGCGATCTTCGCGGCTTACTCTCGTTTAGAAGCACGAATCATTTGCGTATGGGTCAGAATTGACCGCAGGTGTTGGTCCATGTTTCCACTTACCAGGGTAACCCATTTGGGGGTTACCCGATTTTGCCCCACAGCCAGTTGTTGGGATGACTTTGGATTTGGCACTAAAGTGCTGGCTCCTCGTACGACTGCTGGTGGCAACCCCAGCTGTAAACCACCAACAATTCAGCGGAGTTCTGTGAGGAGGTCACTTTCACGGACCCAGTAAATACTTTGTCTCTTGGTTGACGTTGGAAGGGGAGCAAAATTCTCAAATTTTAGCAGTTAAGTGGGGGTTTCAACCACTAAACCACAAAAAGCAAAAATGAAAATACAACCGTGGTTTGGGTGGGTGGCTAAATAGGGAGTTGGACCCGAATCCCGAAACGGCGCCTTTCAACTTGCGGCCTGAAAGTCAGCTTCCCTCCAATTGGTGGTTGGGGGTGGTTTCCCATCTACCCTCTGCAAGAACCAGAGGTTCAATTCAAATCCCCAGTTCTCATCAAGCCAAACCACCAAATCTCGGTTGCTTTCTGCTCCCCTGCTAAAAGCGAATAACTTTCAGTGGTTTAATGGACAACCCCCATTAGTCGGCAAACAGTTAAAGTCCCAACATCCCTTGGCAACATGCAGCAAAGTTTCTGTTGTTCATCCAAGCAAAATGCAGCAAAGTTTCTGTTGTTTTCTACCCTTAGGTTGGATGATTTCGGCACACCGCAAATTTCGGGGTCCAAACAAACCGCCCACAAGTTCCCCCGAAACCGAACTCCGACGCTCTCGCTCAGGTCACGGGGAGATGCTTTCGGCCAGCTGGATGTCCGTGGTGTTCTTGTAGATCGCCGGGATGAAGACCTGCATTCACCGCTCCGTTCTCAGATCCCCGAAGAGTGAATCACCTTTAGCCCCCCTGCAAGTGAAACACTTGTTTGGGGGTTTAGTAGAAAACACCATTATTTCCGAAAAAGTTAAAGTCTATAGATTCAACCCAATAGGCAGTCAAGAGTGGGTGAAATGGAAATTCACCACTGAAAAGCCAACAGGCTAAGGAACCGGATGGCTGGGAGCCACCAAGACTTGTCACCCACAGCTGCACAGTGGATTTCCATGAGAGAAAAAGAATCGGCATCCGACCTTTTTCGGTTGACTCTGCAGGGAAATCCTTCCCAAACAAAAGTGGGAAAAAAGAAAACAATTTGGGCGCCGGGCAGCTGGGCCCAAATTTTTGGGAGTTTCTCAAGGTGCGGTCTGGTTCTGGAGCCCGACCAAAGAGATCCGAATGGCTTGGCCGGGCTGTTGCACAAGACCTGGTCGATCGGGCCTGGTGAGCTTGGATCTCAGCTCTCTGGTTTCACAAGGGTTGGAATCCGAAATCCCACCACTCCAAGCCGTGAGGCAGACCAACGAATTTATCGAGCTCTCCAAAACAAGGTTTTTTTCTGCTTTTCTTCTTCTTCTTTTTTTTCCGGAAAACACACAAACCACCCAAACGGGCTCTACCCATCATAAAGAGAATCCACCGTTTGCCCCGACTTTCCCTGCGAAGGGTGAGGACTTTTTGCCGGTGTACCGGAACATGCAGGAGACTCGAAGAGCAACAAGCTCAGCTATACGTCGGCCATGAATAGAATCCCATGGGCTGTTTCCTTCTCGTCCCATGGGCTTTCTTCCAGAAAAAAAGAAAGAAGCCATATCCACCTGGCGCTTGCGTTGGCTGAAGAAGGGGTCCACCAGCGGTTCCTAAAACAAGAGATCCAACGGCAACGGCATGGCATCTGCAAAAGCTGGGGGCACCTTTGAACACACAACTCATGCCAGGATCAGCAAGCCACGGCAGGGCAAACTGGCTAGTGTTGTGCTGCTGCTGTGGTGATGATGAAGATGATGAAGATGATGATGATGATGATGATGATGATGATGATGATGATGATGATGATGATGATGATGATGATGATGATGATGATTTGTGTGTCATTACTACTATTATTCTGATTACTATCATTATCATTGTGACTCTGATGATAGTTGTCATGATGATAAGAGAGTCACCATGCCTCGCCCACCACTGAACACGGTCCGCAACTGAAAACGGTCCGCAACTAGTCCTCACACCGGCCCTTTTGGCAAAAAAACGAGACTGCGAGTTCTGAGCATGTGGCGTTGTGAAACAAATATGGCCTCCTTCTGGACCCTAGTGCCTCATGCCGCCATTGAAAGGGGATACCAAACGCCCGAATGTTGCCAAGCCCCACGTAAGAAGCAACAAAACAGAATGAGCACCATAAGCCAGAACTGCTGCTCTTTTGTGGACCCGAAATGCCCTGCACAAGTCACCGTTGCCGGGAAGAAAGCGATTCGCAACTTGGCAAAACCAAAGGACAGAGCCAACCTCCCGGCCATGAACCCTTTCCACTGGTCTCCGATGCCGAATAGCACGCAAGCGCAGCTGGTTTCTGGGAGGCAGATCCCGCACGAAAAGTCTAACATTTTTGGCGGGTTGAATGGAGAAGACCGTCTAAAAACAAACACACCAAACACCTCCACGTTCACCTCCTTATTCCCCGGCAGAAATCCGAAAGCGGCCAAGGAGGTCATTGACAGCCAGGCGAAAAAGAACGGAGCTCTGAAGTACTGTTCCTGAGAAGGTTTCGGGGTTCCGGATTCCAAAAAAAATCTGAAGGGTGGTGCTGGAGGGGTTGCCAGGGATACCACCCATTCTAGGTCCTCCAGTAGAGAGGTTAGAATAAGTGGGTACCAACTGTTTTCTGTAGCCTATTTTTGTAGGGGAGCGGTCACCTAGCTGGGGGACCTAGTTCCCCAGATAGCTGAAAGCTATAGGGGTTCTAACTTCTAATGCAGAAGGGAAAGTGATTTGCGAGATTGCCGGCTGGGTGCTAGGGGGCATGCAGTTTGGGGTGCTGGTGTAGGTGCTGTTTGAGCCGCTGGTGATGCCGCGGGCGCATTTTATTTAGATTGGGGGTGCTAGGGTATGCAGTTTGGGTGCTGGCGCAGGTGCTTTGGGGTGTGCAGGTGACAGTGCCGGCGCACTTTTAGAAAATTAGCGACAAAATGCTAAGCATGCAGTCTGGGGTGTTTGCGAAGGTGCTGCTTTGGGATGGTGTTTGGGGTGCTCTTTGAGGTGCTGGTCATGGTGAGGGTGCGTGTTTGCGAGATTGACGGCCGTGTGCTCTGGTGCTGTTCGGGGTGATGGCGCGGATGGTTTTTGGGGGGGTGGTGACGGGCGTGGCGTTTTTGCGAGATTGACGGCTGGTGCAGGTGCTGTTTTGGGGGGCCTGGTGACGGCCAGGTGTGTTTTTGCGAGATCGACGGCAGGGTGCTAGGTGGCATGCAATTTGGGGATTCTTGTGCAGGTGCCACAGGGCAATCGTTGGCATTTTGCTATCTGGGGTCTATGCTGGTGTATTATTTTTCTCCCTCTTCCCCAGAAGGTTGCTCGGCTGCTTGCCATGCGCGAACGATGCCCGGAAGCACAGCCCCCGGCCTCTTCGAGGTAGTCATACAGCGTGTGCACGTCGGTGATTCTGGTGATGGGGTAGTGGGTCGGGTTCATTTTCTGGCGCGAGAAGAGAGATTCAACGCCAGCGACATGGGTGCGTCTTTGAATATGGGAACCCCCCAACTAAGCCAGTGGTTTCCATTCTGTTTACCTTTAAAACCACGCAACATGGGCACCCTCCAAAAAACAACAACACCCATATACCGAAGCGGCGCTAACCTGGCAACCTACCGCAAGTCGCGGGAAAACTTCTCGCAGCATGCAGCGTGCAACAAGCAATTGGCTACACTTAACATGGAAATCAATCAAGGTTTCCGCTACGGTATAGGCTTACTAAATTGCCAATGAGGCCAGATTGGCCAAGAACCATTTCTTTGGGTGCTGCTATGCTTCCCCTTTCAAGCCAAACTGGGTGTCCAACCAAAAATCGACACTGGAACCTCAAACCCTTCAACACAGGCGATGATCCCACCACTTTGGGTTGCCCCATCTGAATATGTCCAATTGTTCCAGCGTAGTTTGAGGGTCCCGCCTCCTGGATCGCCAGCTGCGAATCGCCTTTTCCAAGCTGTCACTGTTCCATTTGGGGAAATGGCTAGAACACACCGCCACGCCTCGCAAACCCGTCCTTTCCCTCAGACCCCTGCAACGGGAACCCTTCAAGCTACATATTCGATATTATTATCTTCTTAAACGACCACAACTTGGCGATCCAGCTCCCTCATCCCAAGCTACAAAAATCTGGCAAAAACAGAAACGACCGCATGGCGATCCAGCTTTTCTCAACGGAATCGCCCCGAGTTTGTTTCTCGCGAAGCCCCGGCCATGCGGATGTGATCGCTGAGCCGGGAGGTCGCCACAGACCTCGCTCGCAGAGCGGTTCGCGCGGATCGATGGGTCGATGGGGTGTGGTCGGCTCAAGGGCTTTCTTGGTACTTGGATGTTCCACCTATGGGGTCTGCCTGGGCTCAGTTGGCTTATGACCTCGGTTGCAACCTACTTACTAAGATCTTACTAGGTTGGTTGAACATCCAAGCAAACCCAAATCCATTTCCCAGGTTTGGAGGGAACCGACAAGGGGTTTCCCACACGGACAAACCACAAGGACAAGCTTCGAAAGGGAAACCAACAGGAAAGCCCCATTTGTTTTTGGGAACGTTCCGGTTTCCAGCAGCCGAAGTTGTCGTTTTTTTTTTTTTTTTTTTTTTCCTTTTTTTTTTTTCGGGTTCCGCATTCTTTCCCAAGGGCACAGCACGGCACATCTGCTCGGTGATCTGAAGAATCCGAGTCGACCCGAACGCGTTCCGCCGCTACCCCTTCCATCCAGCTTCCCCTTGGTTTTGAGGGGTGGTTGCGGAACCCCTTGGTTACCCGCACAAGGACATGGAATCGCTGGAAGCCGAAATTTCTTCGGGGGGTCCAGTTTCAATTTGCGCACTATTGCGCAACCAAAGGAAACTATCATTGGCCGGTGGATACCTGAACTGGGGGTGTTTCTTAAGGTTCAAAACCAAAGGAGACCAATGCCAAAGCTAGAGGTAACTGGAAGCACCTTGTTTGATTGGCAAAGGGAAACCAACATTAGCCCGCCCGTTTTGCTGGTCTAAGGGAAACCCAACGGCCATTTTTGAGGGCTTCCACTAGTAATAGCTTGAGGGTGAGCTTTTTGTGGGGCCGCAGCGTCCCCTTCAGTCCATGAGCAGCGAGGGAAGCGTGGCAGTGCAGGTACGATCGGATAATTCCAGGCAAAGGTTCTATGGTGCTCCAGTGGAGAGGTTGGAAGAAGGGTACCCTTTTTTCCTGTAGTCTATTTTAGTAGGGGGACCCTCCCCCCAAAAAAGTTGGTAAAAGGGCACTACTGGGAGACCTAGTCTAGGGCGCCGATAAAAAGGCACGAGCAAATCGTGGACGCGAGGGGACGGAAGCAAACAGGGGGGAGCTGTATCGTCAGGGGGCGTTTTGGCCGCTGAAAAGGTCGAAAACGCTCTCAACCCATCGAGGGACCAAGAAATCACGTGTTGAGACCCCCAAACCCCGGACAACGTTGATGTCCAGTCCGGTTCCAGGTCTTCCCTCCAAGGAGCCTCCTGTAAAGGGCACGAGTCTGGCGCCAAGACTTCTTAAACCTGACAGTCGTTTGCATCCCCCTCCAAATGAACAGGACCCAAAACTCTTTTTCCCCAGATAGCTGAAAGCTATAGGGGTTCTAACTTCTAATAAAGAAGGAAAAGTGATTTGCGAGATTGAGGGCGGTGCTAGGGGGCATGCAGTTTGGGGTGCTGGTGGAGGTGCTGCTTTGCGAGCTTGACGGCCGGGTGCCAGGGGGCATGCAGCTTGGGGTGCTAGTAGTGGAGGTGCTGTTTTGCGAGAGTGATGGTCGGGTGCTAGGGGGCATGCAGCTTGGGGTGTTGGTGGAGGTGCTGTTTTGCAAGATTGACGGCCGGGTGGCATGCAGTTTGCGGTGCTGGCGGAGGTGCTGTTTTGCGAGAGTGATGGCAGGGTGCTAGGGGGCATGCAGTTTGGGGTGCTGGTGGAGGTGCTGTTTTGCGAGCTTGACGGCCGGGCGCTAGGGGGCATGCAGTTTGGGGTGTTGGTGGAGGTGCTGTTTTGCGAGAGTGATGGTCGGGTGCTAGGGGGCATGCAGTTTGGGGTGTTGGTGGAGGTGCTGTTTTGCGAGAGTGATGGCCGGGTGCTAGGGGGCAGGCAGTTTGGGGTGTTGGTGGAGGTGCTGTTTTGCATGGCCGGGTGCTAGGGGGCATGCAGTTTGGGGTGCTAGTGGAGGTGCTGTTCTGCGACAGTGATGGTGGAGGTGCTGATTGACGGCCGGGTGCCAGGTGTGACGTGCTGGTGAAGGTGCTTTGCGAGATTGATGGCCGAGCGCTACGGGGCATGCAGTGGGTGCTGGTGGAGGTGTTGCTTTGCGAGAGTGATGGCCGGGTGCTAGGGGGCATGCAGTTTGGGGTGCTAGTGGAGGTGCTGTTTTGCGAGCTTGACGGCCGGGCGCTAGGGGGCATGCAGTTTGGGGTGTTGGTGGAGGTGCTGTTTTGCGAGAGTGTTTGCCTGTTTTGCGAGAGTGATGGCCGGGTGCTAGGGGGCATGCGGTTTCGGGTGTTGGTGGAGGTGCTGTTTTGCGAGATTGACGGCCGGGTGCCAGATGTAGTTCGGGGTGCTGGTTCTGTTTTGCGAGCTTGACGCAGTTTGGGGTGGTGGTGCAACTGCTGTGTTGGGTTGCCGGGGTTCTAACTTCTAATGAAGAAGTGGGATTGTTTTGCAAGATCGACGGTTGGGAGCTAGGGGGCATGCACTTTGGGGTGCTGGCGCAGGTACAGTTTTGAGGTGCTGTTCGGGCTGGTGACAGTACGTGACGGCAAGGTGCTCGGTGCTCGGGGACCTGTCCAATGCTGGTGCGGGTGCTGCGTTGGGGTGCTGTTGGGGCTGCTGTCTTGAGGTGTTGGTGACGGTGTGGGCGCATATGGACGGCAGGGTGCTAGGGCGGGTGCTGTTTCATGATGCCGTTGAACCGGTTCGGACGTTGTTGCTGCTTCTAGTAGTCTAACAGTCGTTTGTCATGGTGCGTGGTTCGTGGCTGGTGTGTCATCATGATGTTGTCACCCGCGTCATGATGCTGCTGTCACTGCGATGCTGCGATGCTGCGTTATGGTTCGTGGGTGTGGTGGCGCCATGATTGCTGCCAACATCAGGATGATGCTGAATTTCACTACGCTGTCGCGAGAAGATTCGTGGCTGTGGTATCATCATGATGCTGCCTTTTCAATTTTACCATTACCATGATGCTGTTCGCATCACCATGATGCTGTCCGCATCATGGTGGTGCTGTCCGCATGATCGTGATGCTGTCCGCATCATCATGATGCTGTCGAACTCATCAGGACGTCGTCTCTGCCTTTTTTCTGCTAGATATGTGGCGCGGAATCGTTCGTTGCTGGTGCATCAGCATGATGCTGTCAACATCATCATTTTTGCTGCTGAACTCATTAGGACGCTGTCTTCGTGTCTATTTAGCGCACATGCTGAGTGGCTGTGGTATCATCATGATGCTTTCAACATCAGCATGATGCTGTCAACATCATCATGATGCCTCGGGAACCATTATGATGCTGCATAATGGTTCGTAGCCGTGATGTGCTATCTGGGGTCTACGCTGGTGTAATTTTTTGGTTAATGATCCAACAACAGTGAAGCGCTGTAACCACCAATATTTACCGTTCAGGATTATCATCCTCCAAACCTCACTGTGCTTAAGCCACCAGGAACCAAATAAACATATGTCCAATAGCGACACATGCACGTTAAATTAAAACCATCCAGGGAGCATAGCAAAAAAATCAAATTCGTTCCAGCTCAAATGCAAGTACATTGGTTGAAACCAACGAGGGAACTAAACAAAAAAAACAAAATGGGTCCTCTTGGGCCCTTCCGTTTTTTTCAGGGGTCCCCGGCCAGCACGAAATTAGGCTGGCCACCGCTCTTGGTCGAACAAAAAGACCTCTCTGGGCCAGGAGCTGGTTGACCAACATGGCCAGGGAGAAGGTCAAAAGGAAGAGGAAGAACTCCGTGATAGACCCACCTGAAGAAGAAAAAGAAACAAATAGGTTGGAGGGGTTTTCGAGATTCCCTTCGAAGCCGCAGTGATGACACAAATGCCGCAGGTAACCAAGGGAACCACCGCAGGTATCCCTGTTGGGTCAATTTGTTCATTGGGGTCCTGGTTGGTTCGAATCATAGCCACTAGAATCTCGTTTTATGGTTGTAATCATGTTTTGTTGTTCTTAAATGGAAGCTGGCATGACAACCGCCATTTTTGGGGTCCAAATTCCTTGAAAACGACACCCCATTGTCGAGTTTTTGTGCTGTGGAGGACAGGGAAGCCTAGAGTTCAACCCCCGCAGCCTCGTCATTTCGGGGGCCAAACGATGTCTCAAATGGTCGCTCTGAGCATCTGATTCGGGACCCTCCATTCAAGGAATCGGGCGGCGAAGCGGACCATTGGAAGGTTTGGGACCTCATTTTGAGACCGTCACTTTGAGGTGTTTGATTCGTTTGGTAGGGAGCCACTTCTTTGAGGTGCTGTATGAATCTTCACCTAAGTCATCCAAACCCATCGGTGTGGGCTACCGGCCAGAATAATGCTTCAAGAATCAAAGAACCCGCCAACATAGCTTTTGAGCATACCCCGGACCCCAAATGACAGGAATCATCATGGAAGGGTTGCGATTTGCTCAGAAGGTACGTTGAGATGGTACCCATCGCTTGGGAACCCTTGCTCTTCTAGCCGGTTTTTGAGGACGTGGCAATAGAAAAGCCCAAAAGGAAAATAATCCAACCGGACTTCTCAGCTTTCCATTGGGCCTCATCTCATTCCTTGGCCATTTGGAACCTCCTCAAACATGCTGGCGATGTTCGGCTTTTCGACCCTTTGCCGCTTTGAAAACCAAAGGGGACGCGGGGATAAGGGTCCCAAATCTTGAGACCCTCCCTAGTACCAAAGGGAAAAAGTATGGGGAGTCGCCCCTGAATTGGGGGGGGCTTACATTCTTGCATTTCTTAGCATTTTTTTGGATAATGGATAGCACTGGCAACTAACTCTATTTGCGAACGTTTCTGACGCAAAAGGACACCTGCGCAGGAATGACAAAGGCCGCCCTGAATAAGCTCTGGCTTGACAAAATTTCCGAACTCTCGCTTGATGAGTAACTGGCAATGTCACTAAACTGGTCTTCCCAAAAAGGCTTGGCTTCCTATCTGCCTCGCAGTTGCCACGACTTCCGGATAAGCTTCACAAGGAGTCTGGTGCCCTAAGAATCATGCGGGCCAGCCTAGGGACGGACCCTTCTGATGCTTAGGCTTAGGGTGGGAGAATTGGAGGGTCTACCAAACTTCCTACATAAACGCCAACAAACTGCCAGTCATATTGTCAGTTGCTGATATGAGAGGGTAATGGTAGCTGCTTCTACGATGCTGAAATGGGTATGGCTCAAAATTAAAGAGGAGGGGTTACGCAGGTTTTGGTCCATGTTTCCACTTGCCAGGGTTCCATTTTGGTACCGGGTTTTTGAGCCACAGCCAAATGATCCTTTCTTGGTTCAAATCTCCAAAGGGTGCATAACCCGTCCCACTAAAACGGGGGCGAAAGTCTTCACCCCCGAGATCGCAGCAGAGCTGGGAGCGCCACAGAGCTTGATGTTATCGCCTCAGGCGACGGCCAACTGGGTAACGTCCCTTGCGGGGTGGGGAGGTGGAACTTTTGCATTGCGGGATGGGGGGAGGGGATCGGGGGGGGGATGGGGGGGGAGGGGATGGGGGGCGGAGTCTTTTTGGAGGTCCCCCTGTTATGATTTGAAAACAACACCAAAAGGATACCGCCCATTTTGGGGGTCCCTCAAAAAGACGCGCCGCCCATGTGCGTCTCTCTTAGTAGGGAAGTCTCAACATCCAGTGGCTTCTTCGTTGCTGGCCCAACAAAAGCCCCGGAGACGACCCTTGGGGCACTGGACCTACGCCTGGATCTCGCAGTCGGTCTCGGGATGGGTTCGAGCCTTTGGTCTGAGTGGCTTGGCCCAACCAAAAGCCCCAAGCTTCTTTGGTTTAGCTGGTCCTCCGTGAGCTGGCCGAGTGCGGATCTGGGATTCATCGTGGGTACCTCACAAATACCTGCAATCTTCCTCTCCGGGCTGTCCGTTTTCAGATCCCCTGCTAAAAGTGTAACTTGTGGGTTAAATACAGAAACCCGCTAAACCCTCGAAAAGCTATGGGGATGGGTTAAATGGAAACCCACTAAACACTCAACAGCTCAAAAGCTAAAGAACCGGATGGCTGGGTTTCCCACCAAGGACTCAGGCCAAGTCGCTTCTGATCCTTTCCCTCTTGGTGGTCGGAGTCTCGACGCTGTTGGTCTCATCGGCGTCCTCCCTGCGCCACGCGGGCGCGCAAGCGCGGGGGACCACAGCTCCAGGTTTCAAGGTGTGGGACCTCAAAACACGACAAATGAGTCCAAGATTCGGGTGGCTCATGGAATCCCCTCCGGGGGAAATTTGGGCTATCGGTGCCGGGAAATGAGTGCTGATTGAGAGCCCCGAAACGGGTTCCAAGTGCTGCCCAGTGCGCTCAGGTGCTGCCCCCAGTGCGCTCAGCAAAACCGCTTCCAGATACCAAGATTCAGGGGACACCATCTTGCTGCTGGAAATCGGATGGAATGAACCCAGTTGCTTTGGTCCCCTGAAAGGAAACCAGATGGATGGTTGCTCTTGGGGTCATTCCCTCAGGGAACCTGCCTATCGCACCAGCAAGTCATGTAAGATCTAGAATGTTAGAAATGCAAGAAACCCTTGCTACCTGCTATAGTGCTAACTGAAAGCAATGGGATAGGGGAGGCAGGAGGATTCCCAAATCAGTACCTTACTAAACTCTAAGTGCACTGGGTTCTCCTCCCATATCCCTACTTCCCTCAAATTGGGCGGGAGTTGACTAAAAGGGACACCTTTAAGAAAAACCCAAGCAAATCCATCTGGGGGTCCAAATCCCTTTCAGAAACACCTTGCGGGTGTCCTTTTTAAGGCACACCCCAAACCTACCAAACAAACCCTCAGCACACCGCAAAACTGGTTCTCCTTTTGGTTCCCCTTTACAGCCAAAAAGGGAAGCAGTGCCCTCACACCCCATACTGTGGATGGATGAAATCCTGCACCACCTGAAACACCCTGGTTTCTGCTCATTCCCCTGTAAATACCAGCAAACAATGGTTTCAACCATGGTATCAAAGTGGTGCGAAGTGGATTTGGCCCATCCACAGTATGGCTCCCACATCCCAGTTGGACCTCCCCAAATTGGTGATTCTCCTTTTGGTTTCCGTTTGAAACACCCCCAACAAGGGGTACCCTGAAAAAAAGATAGCCAAGTTGCCACTCTGTCCTGTCACTGTTGCTTGCTTTTGGATGGTAAAGTGCATGGAAAGAAGCGATGGCAACTGGCGATCCAGGCCCCATATGTCTGAGTGCGCTGCCCATCTCGGTAGGGCACCTGAGCCCATGGGAAGGCAAGGCAAGCTGTTGGATCGGTTGAACCCCTCTCACGTGTTCGAAAATGTGGATTGGCCAGATGTTTTTTTTTTTTTTCTGTTTTGTGCCACTAAAATGGTCGACCCAAATAAAAAAGTCTTAAAGTCCAGGACCTCAGGAACGAAGTGGCTCTTGAATGGCACACCCCGTGATTGATTCGCGGTTTCGGATTCGCTGAAAGGTTCAACCGCCTGGTTCTTGAGGGTGGGAACTTCGAACAGGGTCATTGCTTGGGACAACCATCAAGGGACCCGACGGGAATGAGGGCCGAATCTTACGTCATCCCAGCTTGGTCCCTTTCATGGCTGTGTGTCTTCTTTTTGAGGGCACGCTTGCCCTTTTGGGATTGGTTTAAAGGGAAACGAAAAAGAAAACCTCCCATGTTCGGGGTCCGAAAACCTAAAAAAACACCACATCTGTTTGCTTCTTGGCTTCTCTCATTAAATGCGGTGACACAGGACAGCGGGGCAACCATCACCATCTCTGTTGGTTCTCATGACTCGACTTCTAGTCTCAACGGTGATTGTTTGTTTACCCCTAGCACCGATTTCGCCAAGAAACCCGGCGTAATCAAAACCAGGTGCTTCAGCCCAGACTCATCTTGCCGGTGCTCAGTGGGGAATGTGGGGAATGAAGCTAGGGATTCCCTTAAAGGAAGCCACCTGGGATGGTTTATAGGGGTCGTTCCAACTCATTCCCGACTGAGCACCAGCCAGCCATGTAAAGATTTCACAGGGCGGCGGATATTCGCACCTTATGGCAAGGGGCCTAGGCCTAGGAAGTGGCGCACATGTTTCACTTCAACTTGATTGGTGTTCCAACCTGCCTTCTGGTTCAACATAGGGGAGGGCTGGCCCGGACGTTCCAATTCGATTTGTCCACACTCGGAGCCAGGTGATGAGATCCCGCGAAAACGGAAACATGGGGGTCCGCCAATGTCCGGGGTCGACCGTTGGACGCAGCCAGCATCTAACTACGGGCTCTAACCATGGCTAAAAGAAACCACTAAGCCCAGTTACCCCAGTTGTACCCCTTGAACATCGAAGTGAGTTGCGTGACAAGAGTCCTGTCCTGGATCCATCAGATTGGAATCCACCATCGAAAAACCGAGCGCGGCACCATCGCACCTTGCTTGACATCCTCGCCCTTCATGGCGCCTGCAAGACTCATGGCTCATGGCCTTTGCCCAATGGATCCCAGTGGAACCCGACTTAAATACCTGGGCTGTCCTCAGCTCCTCTGCTGAAAAATGAACCGGACTATCACTTTTGGGAGGTTAACTGGAACCCCCCCCACTGAGAACTTAAGGGGACCCCCCCAAGGTGAGTGACAGTGGATGGCTTGGGATTGCTCGATGCCGATCACCTGAAACGGGGCCTTGACTAAAAATGGGAACCCAAAAAGGGGCAACCAAAAGATGCGACTAAAACTAGAAATGGACCAACATGGGGAAACCAGAAGGTCAAAAGGTCGGCTTTGGCTAGGTGAGTCAAAGGACATCCCCGGCAATCTAGTCCGTCCCCACAGTCCCAAAAAGACTGACTACTGCGCTGCACATTTGAGGGGTCTTTGTCCAAAAACGTCTCGGCAAGTCCCTTGTGGTCAACCCGGCAAGCCGAGTCAGAATGAACACCTGGTATTCAAGAAGTCCCAGACATACTGTGGATGGACAAAATCCTGCACCACTTTGATACCATGCAAAACCATTATTTGCTGGTAATTGCAGGGGGATGATCATTCCAGGGTCTCTTGGGTGGTGCAGATTTCATCCAGCCACAGTATGTAAAGAATAAAAGGACAAATATCCGACCCTTCATGGTTGGGATAGATAGTTTCTATCCTTGGCTGCTGCAACGACCCCCCTGCAAACAGTGTTTCTAACTTTTTTGGGGGTTTAGTACGGACACCCCGACTTGATTTCAACCAAAAAGTTAAAGTCTAAAGATCCGTTGCCCAATAGCAGTCAAGAATATCCCTTCACTCACCCATGTTTTGATTCTGGCTCAGGATTGAAACCCAGAGTTTTCAGCGGGTTGAGACGCTAAAATTGAACTCGGAGCTTCGGCTTTTTTCAGTTCTTTGAGCCTCTGCAGGTGTTGCATCTCTGGATCACCCTCACAGGCTGAAGAAATTGGGGCTGATCAAAAGGTCCGTGATACATGGGATGACCACTAGGCAAGACTACCAAAAAAATGATCTTCCCCCGAAATGGGAAAAGTTACCCATGGTGATTTGCGGGCCAGGTATTTCGATCAACCCCCCAAATGCTAACAAAGCAAAAAATGAACCGATCGAATCCCGGCACCGCACGTTGCTTGCAGGTTTTTTGCAGTGGTTTCGAGCCTGTGCCTTTTTTAAGAGCTTCGGGCTTTGAATGTGCTTGCACTTTTGGAGCTTCTACGCAGGTTTTAAAGCTTGAGGCAATTATTTTGTTCCGGCTTGTGCAGGAGATTTCAGCCTTGGAATTGGTGCAATTGTTGAACGAAAGCTTGAGTGCTTTTGTTGCTTTCGAAGGGCTGGAAAAACACATCGCCAAACATGTTGCTACACCCCCCTGCCTTTCAAATCATCATGTATAGGTAGAAACGTGGGGAATACATAGACACACACATAGAAACTACACAGGGAGCAGAGCACATATGTACACAGAAATGCAAATCTAAATATATACATATATATATATACATGTATGTATGTATGTATGTATGTATGTATGTATGTATGTATGTATGTATGTATGTATGTATGTATGTATCTATGTATACAGAATTTAACTGCCAAGGCTGTTTGTCACCGTCCACATGCCCACGCCTTAAACGCAAGGGCCTGCATGTACTACGCGACCACGCCTGGCTTCGCGGCAAGAGCCAACGACCAAAAAAAGAAGAAACACATACCCAGCCGATCCATTTAGCCAGAACCCGAGCAAAGGATGCAACACTTGGGGGCTGAGGATATCACAACTTTTGTACAGCAGGAACCAAACAAACCACACATCAAACACCAATTTGGACCAATGAGGCTTGAGGATAACAGCTTTGACAGCAGGCAACCAAACAAACCACACACCGAAGACCAACCAAACAAACCACATCAAAGACCAATGGCGAAGGCCTGCCTATTCTTAACTAAAAGCTCTGGAAGGTTCCCTGAAACGCCACAAAACTCCGTGACAAAGCCCTTGAAGTGGACACAAGTGCAAACCCACCAGCGGTTTTGAGCGCCGGATTGCTGGCCGAACAAAAAGGTACCCTGTTTCTTTGCTCGTTGCTCAGACTTCGAAAGAAACATGGTTGTAGCAAACCGCTCGAAGTAGTGCGTGTCCATGACTAATTACTTCTTCGACACTTTCAAGAACCTTCCCTCTGGCCCTAAAAGCAAGCTGTTCACAACCATGAAGAGGAACCCTCTCCCAAACAATGGAAAAACAAATGATGACAAGCCGACAGACTGGAACGCAAACCTACCCAACCTGGCTGGCGTGCATTGCAGCGCTCTCTGGGGCAGAGGCGGGAGTTCCCTATGACATACCCACATCTTAAATGCTGCCCCTGCCACGAAATCTGTACCCCACATCGCGAAAGTGCTGCCCCTACCACGAAATCTGTACCCCATGTCGCCAAAATGCCGCCCCTGCCACGAAATCTGCACCTCGTCTGCGAAAGTGCTGCCCCTGCCACGAAATCAGTACCCCGCGTTGCGAAAATGCCGCCCCTGCCACGAAATCGCGACATGACAGCTTGCGCGTCCATTCCACTGCGATTCGCAACCGCCGCGTCCCTGAGTGCCAAAGTGCCGCGCCTGCCACGAAATCTGAGCGACACATCAACAAAGCGCTGCGCCTGCCACGCAAAACGTACCTCAGGTTGCCAAAGTGCTGCGCCTGCCACACAAAGCAACGTTGCGAAACGGTGTCGCGTATCATTCCAATGGTCCCGGCGCCGCCCCCGTCCCGAGACCGTCCCGAGCCCGTCCCGAGACCGTCCCGCACCCGTCGTCCGTCAGACGCGGCGACTGAGGTAGCTTTCAGCCAGCTCCACACCACCAAACCCGCAGAGGGTTGCTCCTTTTCGCAAATTCTATTCCACCGCCACACGCACACGCATGTTTTCTCTCGCGCCTTTCATTCTTTCTTCTTCCTTCCCTGCACCATCTAGCTTTCAATTAGTTTCCGTCCCGTCTCAAAAACGAAAACTCAAAGGGGTTGACAGCCAGGGGGTGTCTTTCGGGTAGGTCCGGATCTGTTTCTCTTATTCGTTTTGGCTTACATTGGGCCAACACAACCAAGCAACTTGGGGCCAGAAGTTAGCAAAAAGTACAGGAGCCCACTCCAATTGCTGAAATGCCCAGAAAAAATCACCTGCTAAACCGAGAATGAGCCACTGAAAAGCCAACAGGTTCTCATCGATTCGTTTTGGGCCCTGCGAAAATCGGAGAAATCGCTTCCGTGCCTATAGCGCGCGCCCCTATCGGCGCCCACTCTGAACGCCCCGAAACTGTGAGCCGAAAAATCGGTCCGCAGGCGCATGCCGAGGTCAATACGCCAGCGTGGACAGGTTCGGGTTGGCTCGGTTGGGGTTCGTGGTTGGGTGGTCGGGTGGTTGGGTTGGGTGGTTGGGTTGGGTGGTTGGGTTGGGTGGTTGGGTTGGGTGGTTGGGTTGGGTGGTTGGGTTGGGTGGTTGGGTGGTTGGGTTGGATGGGGAGGCCGGTGAGGCCAAATTTGCGTCAAACGGGTACCCCGACTCGCTTATGATTGAGTGGATTGGCCCAAAAAATAAATCGGTAGTTTCCTGTTGGGTTCTTTTTTTTGATCAACCACAAATGGTATCCTCAAAAAACACGTGTTGCAGAATTGTCAAACTTCGGGGGCCGCTTTTGGTATCGCTGTCAAAGAAGGGTCCAACATAGGGCCACCTGCTTGACTCCCGATCTTCTGTTGGACCAATTTAAGATTTATAGAAAACAGTTTCGCAGGCAAGGCTCACTTCCTTTCAGCGCTTCGCCACTGTAGTAGGCAACCTTCTAGATGTTTTGACTCTATAGGCTTTACCATCGATGGTGGATTGCCGGTTTAGTGCTGGAAGCAGTGAGGTAGGCCTGGACAACAACTTATTCATTATATATATATATATATATACTAGTTTTGAGGGCGCCCGTCAGGTCATATTATATATGCATATTATATATGGCGACTGTTTGAAATTCCTTGTTCTCAAAAATGCCATCTCGCGGCAAAGAAATAGCTTTCGCAGCCTTCTTCGTGGAGCTTTCGTAGGGGTTATTTTTCACCACCGCATTCAATACAGAAACAGCACACAAAGTACTCTTGCGGAGTCTGCGCTCCATTGATTTCCGCGCAACTTCTCGGATGCGCGTAACACTACCGAATATCCGGCTGGGAAGTAGCGCTCAACTGGACCCGAAAGCTTCAACAACAAGCTGTTTTGTGCCGGGCGTTGCTGGTGCAGTGACGCATGCTTGCAGATGCTTTCCTCCGATCGGCCAACTTTAGTTTGTGCACATTCCCCGTCAACTTCACATGGTTCATCAGTCCATGCTCCTTTTAGCAAGCTACCACTACATGTTGTTTTTCGCGAGTAAACAAACTAACTTTCACGACCTCCATCGCGAAGCTTTTGAGGGTTTCTGAATGCGCGAAACACTGCACAACTTTTCTATAGGTATTTAAGTTGGGAAATCCTATCATTCCGTTGGGTTTTTAGGTGGTGCGAGGCTCGCGGATTTTGCAACCATCCACAGCATGGGTCATGGGCGTGTCTTTTTCAAGGATCTTGACTCCCAAAATTTTGGTTTTGCTATTGGTTTCCCTGCAAAGCTAAGCACAAATAGAAAAGTGACCCCGAAAACAAATAAAAAAGTAAAAAACAAAAAAAACAGGCCCAATTGTGGTTTTGCCAGTGATTTCCCTTTCAAACTAAGGAAAAAGAGAAACGCGCCCCTGCCAAAATAAATGGATTTTAGCTCCCAAACTTGTGGCTTTGCTACTGATTGGTTTCCCAGCCAAGAAAAGGAAAGAAACAACTAACCTGGACCCTCAAAGTTCCCTTAAAAATGGGTTTGACCCCCAAAATTGTGGGGTGATATCCCATTTTTATGGGTAGTTTGAGGGTTCAGGAAGACAGATGTCTGTTTCCATCTTCGGGCCGGCAGCAACTCCGCGAGCTTTGCGCGTCAGCGCACATCCAGCACCTGGGCGGCGCGCACATCGCGTGGTTTCTGAAAGGTCGGACGTTGTGTAGACCTAAGTCGAGCATGGGTCAGATGCTCAAAGAGGTTGGTGTTTTTGGTGCCCATGTTGATCTGGCGTGAATTTTGGGGTTTGTAAGATGGCCATGGGTCAAAATCCAAAATGGTACCATTGGTTTTGACCCACAGCCAAGTCGACCATGTAGCCGTGTAACTGTGCACTTGTTGATAGAACTGAAGTACCCCCTGAACCTCTTGTACTTTTATAGAATTGCCGATTTTCAGGCCGCTTGACTCTTGCCGGTGTATGGTTTCATCTGCCTGGTTGCCTCAGGCAGAACTCTCTGGAAGAACCGGGACCTCGAAGCTTCTCGGAGACGGATCGACCATCAAACTGTACTGAAACATGGGATGCTCTGAATGGACGAAGTCCGTTCGCGCAACTTTGACACCGGGGTTGAAACCATTGCTGTTGTGTTCTTGCACGGGAATGATTCCAGTGTTTCTTAGGTGCGTTTGGGGTCTCAAAAAAGCTCAACTTTTCACCCCCGTTTCAGCAACTCCAAGTACGAGGACCAGGCCCCGGGGTTCTGCGTGCCCTTAGGGCAGTTTGAGGAAGTCAGATTTCTTGCCACCAGCGGGCAACTTCTAGTTGAAACACGCAAGCCGTTGCCCCAACTTAAATCAGCGTCTCCGGGGTCCTCTTAGTTTGTGTCTGAGAACCGGCAACAACTCCATGACTTTTGCACCTGAGGCTTTCCTACCAAGATACCTACCAGAGGGCCAGGAAAGTGGTCACAAAACAACCAGGGCTGTCCTGAGATCCCCTGCTAAAAGTTGAACTTTTAGTGGGTTAAATGGAACCCCCCACTAAACCCTAAAAACCTAAAACAGCAACAAACGGATTGTTGGGAACCACCCCAAGGTAATAGCTGCTCAAGTACCTAGCCCGCCTCCTTGGGGCTGTAAACTGAAGAGTTTTCCCCAGATTTACTTTTGACTTTTGTCTCGCTGTTCTACCCCTTACGAGATGTCTATACCAGAAAACGGTAGAAAGATTGAGCCCTAGCGACTGGTTAGGACGAGTCCTGCTAATCTCAAGCCTTCTCAGTGAGTGGGGTTTGCATCCGATGAACCCACGGAGACCTCCAGACCCCCCCACCCCCGCCCCCGCAGGTGGCTTTTTCTTGCCAATTGTTGTACATTTGGTGACCCCCCAAAAATGTATATTTGCTGTCATTTGCTGGCTGGCAAACTGATTGAGTCATGAGGATCCATGCGCCGTCCGGATCGGTGTCTGGCCCCACATCGCTGAGGCCAGCGCGGCATAGACCGGGCGATGGTCCGAGAAATCGGCGGACCTCGAAGCTGGCTTGCGTTTACTCAGCTTCCCTCTGATTTGGCTTGGATTGGTGGCTTGGGGGCTTGTACGTTATGGGTCAGGTGACCCCAGCTTCCCTCTGGTCGGTGTTTTGGCTGGTGGTGTGGAGGTTGGGGCTGGATGCCCATATGCTGGAGGTTCAAATCCCCAAACCACCAGTCCAAAGCACCAACCACGGGGTGCCTGAATTATGCCACCCCCCCCCCCCCAAACATAAATAACAAAATATATGGGTAGTATGAGTAACAGATTCCGTCCCATCAGCGACTCAATATTTGTGTGGTTTCCCTTGCACGTCCCTCACAAATCGGGGAAGTACATCAGGGAGAAAGCCAATTGTGTAATTCCCTTCATTGCCTACACTGTGAATAGTGAACCTGGGTAGCAAGATGACGGACCGTATTTCCCTTTGGAAACCGTGAATTCCAGTTCCAGAATGTGCAAGGGTTCCTGAAAGGATAGATTCAGAAACCACGTTTTTTAGCAGGCGTTGGATCGTCTCTTGCTGGCGAAGCTGATCGTTGGACTGGCCTGCTGAAGGTCTCCACCTGAAGTTCTGGCAGTTGTGGCTTGCTTTTTTGAAGACATGTTGACCTCATACTCAGCCTGTGGGGTCCACCAAAAGTTGTCTGATTTCAACCATATTTCACCCAGGGACACCTCCCCTACCCCTCGGAATTTGCGATAAAACTTGGTTGGTCTTCAGGCGCGACCGAGAAAACACGGTAGCTGGAACAATTCTAATCATCATGACTCCCTTAGCGCGCTTACAGCAACGGTCAGATCAGATTCATGCGATGCGGGGGGATTGATGAAGACCTGACGGAGCTCGCACTCTGGAGATGGGCTCCGGTGGTTCAACGCGAATCATCTTGGCGAGCTTCGAGAATGGGCCGTGAGCGTCCTTGGGGCCCGCAAGCGCCGCAAGGCTGAGATCGTCAACGGTCGACAACATCAGGCCGGTAATCCAAGAAGTGACCTGGGAACTCCGGTACCTCTTGACCGCCCATCCCTTTGAAGCTTCAAGTGATCCTCCCAAAGGCCGCCAGCATCTGGATGCCCGTACAAGGCTTTCCTTCCCATGGGTCGGATCGAGTTCAATCCACGTCTGGAACTGAGGAAGGCTTAAACATAAGCCTTGCCTGCATCCTTAAGAACGTATTGCTCCCAAGGGAGCTTTAAAGGATAGATTCAGAAACCACGGGTTTCCATCATTTGGCTCCTCTAAATCAGCTGGCGAGTGGCCCAGGTCCGTATGTTTGGAGCCCTTTCTGAAGGTCTCCAGAAGTCGTGTTGACATGTTAATCAACCCCAGTTCATTTTTAAAGGGGGTGGTTTTGGCTCCTCCAAAAGTGGTCTGACTCCCACATTTCACCCAGTGACAAAAGGGGGTGGTTTTGGAAAACCCCTCCAAAAGTGGTCTGACACCATATTAATCAACCAAGGGTTGATTAATATGGGGTCAACATTGTTTCAGCTAGGAACTCGCGCAGAGGCGCCCCTGAAGGTTGTTCACTCGGGGATTCGCTACTTCACCCGGTGAATCCGTTTACCCGTATAGTATGTAACCAAAGGAACCACCCTTTAAAAACCAAAAGGACAATGGCTGGTTACCTACTATAAGGGAGGATCCACAGGGTTTAGCAAACGTCAACAATGGCCCAGCGTTTTGCGCTGGCTCAGTTAAGCGTCATCGGTCTCCAAACTCCGGGCCTGCCCTCAAGGGATTTGCGATAACACTTGGTTGGTCTTCAGGCGCGACCGAGAAAACACGCTAGCTTGAGCAATTCTAAGCGTCAACATACCAACATACCTTAAGGGGCCGACATACCAACCTCGGACTCCCCGACATATTAAAGATGCTTTAAGGGTCCCGTGGACCTTGGGGAACTCCTCCAAATAAGTCCTTTTGGCAACACTCGGGCTCCTGGTTCCGGGTTCTGCGATCGGACCCTTGGGGTGTTAGAGATTCGCCGTGTAAGCAAACCGCCTTTGCACTATCTCCTTCTCCACTCAGATTCTCCCAACAAAAAGCTAATCATAGTATCTGTAAACATGGATTTGGACCCCCAAAATCATTGCGGTGTCCTTTTGGCTTCCCTCCGAAGCAGAACCTCAAACAAAAACAAAGCAGGAAACCACGACCAAACTCACTTTCTGAGTGGATTTGGCCAGACAAAGTCTGGTTACCACTAAAATGGTCTTCCAAAAAAATGACTAAAGTCCGAAACGGAACTCAGAGAGTGAGGAAACCAATAAACCAACAGCCACCCAAAAAGGCCACCCTGAAAAAACCCTGTCTTGGGACCCGGCTCCACCGCCGAGTACTCCGAAACCTCGACCTGCGGCTGGGTGCTTTTTTCAGTGAAGATGAGGCCATGGAACCTGAGACCTCCAACCCTCAGAACATCACCAATTCGGCTGGTAGGGGACGGTGCCCTCTTGGTTGACGTTGGAAGGGGAGCAAAAATTCTCAAATTTTAGCAGTTAAGTGGTTGGATTTCAACCACTAAACCACAATAAGCAAAAATGTAAAATGTTTCCCAACGACAACCATGCCATTGCCCCTAAATTTATCAAGTTGGCGCTTGGGTGCTTGATTCGCCAAGTTAGCAAGTTGTTGGTAACCGTTCGGTTCTCACCCTCTTGTAAGTCTCCCGTTATTGGGCGGCTTTACCCCAAATGGCTAACATCCAAGAGCAACATTATTTGGGGAGGATATGGAGAGATCCCCGCGATTTCCTGTCCTTTCGGGAAGCAAGTCATGTTGTCCATTGATCAACAAGTCCAGTAGTCTATGACCCTTTCGGGGGGCCATGGGGGACCGAAGAAATTTCCCATAATTCCCCGACTCACGGAATTTCTCATGCCCGAGGGAAGCGAGTTATAAGCAGGAAGTAGAAGTATATGCCACGTCTCTCCCGCGAAGTGTCTCACTTCCAGACCTGCAAACAAGCCGCCTGAAAATGCCAAAGGGACAGATTTCAACCAGGCTCCTTCTTGTTACTTTGCTCTTCCCGAGTGACAGCAAAGTTATAGAAAGTGGTTCAACTGGCCTCTTCTTCTTGGTTCTGAGGGAGTGACAACTGTGGAACAGAGTCAGAACATACGCGTTTGTACTCAAATTCGGGGAGAACCCCCCCCCCCGCAAATATGTATATATATATATATATGTACATTTGCTTTCCTATGGGAGTCCCTTTATCAACCACGATAACAAAGGTACACAACTCCACCAGAAAGGCGAGCCACCCATATCATGAAAGGGTTTTAACCCCGGGGTCTGGCAGGAAGCGCAACGAAAACGCTCCCCAAAATGGGCCTGTCTTTGTTAAGGGTACCCCTTTGAAGGAACACTTCAACAGGCAAAAGGAACACCATCCATTTTGAGGGGTCCAAATCCTAAAAAAAAACACACAAGTCGCTTCCCAACTCGCTCCCCGGAAAGATCCACGTGGGATGTCCTCAACCTTCTGGCCGCAGCGCCACAGGATCCGGTCACACCTGACGTGGATTGGCCAAGCGCCCGTCTTTTCCAATCTGTGCGCTGCTGCCAACTTGCTCAGGCTCCCGTGAAAAACCTCCGGCTGTGGCTCAAAAGACCGGAACTCCAAAATGGCTTGCCCTGGCAAGTGGAAACATGGACCAAGACCTGCGGAACCCCTCCTGTTCAATTTTGAGCCACACCGACATGCAGTAGTGATGGATCCGCTTAAAAACCAAAATGCCACATGTTCTGAAGCAAATGGAAGTGTGGACTAACTCAACTGAAAGGCCAAGACAAGTAATTCAGGGCGTCCTTTTGCTCTAAGACCTCCCTTTGACGGGTTTCAGGCACCTCCAAAGATTGGAAGGCTTACCTCAAAAAGGAACCATTTCGGAGAAACAACATGGGTGGTTTCCCGTTCACCCTGCAAAAAGAGTTGCCCATTATCAGAACATCCAACCATGTTGCTCACGTCCGCGACATCTACGAGAAAAAAACGCCTCAACGAACTTACAATTGGCGCAAGCTGGCGTGAGAGAACTATATGGACTGTCAGACTAGTCGTGAACAATGGACATGGCAACCCGAAACTATGAGGTAAAATGAACCCCTCTTAAAGGTCGTTTGAGGGTCCATGTAGTTGCAAAAACTGGCAACATCCAAAACCGCAAACGCAAAGCTAGCAAATTCCACCAACAAACATACACATAAAAGCAAGATTGAAAATCACACACACACACAAACACACAAACACACAAACACACAAGCACACAAGCACACAAGCACACAAGCACACAAGCACACAAGCACACAAGCACACAAGCACACAAGCACACAAGCACACAAGCACACAAGCACACAAGCACACAAGCACACAAGCACACAAGCACACAAGCCCACACAAGCCCACACAAGCCCACACAAGCCCACACAAGCCCACACAAGCCCACACAAGCCCACACAAGCCCACACAAGCCCACACAAGCCCACACAAGCCCACACAAGCCCACACAAGCCCACACAAGCCCACACAAGCCCACACAAGCCCACACAAGCCCACACAA